TGAGATTATTTTCTAATGCATACAGCAGCAAAGAGATGTCTAGGTAAGACTATAACTAGGTGGGAATCAGAAATTGGCTTGTTTGCAATTGTCTCTTCCTACACTTAACCATATTGGGTTAAGTGCTTTCTATGAACGTATCCCACGATACAGGCATTATATTGAGGTTGCTATGGTAACTGGCTTTAGTTATATAAGTAAAGGAGCTGTTGGCAATATGAAATAAAGAGGAAAAAATTAGATATATTCTACCAGTAATTGAAAAAAAAGTCTATTAATTTAGAGTTTCTGAGACACAGTTCTCTCTCATTGCAGTACAGAGGGCTTGTGTGGCAGATTTTATTTTGTTTACAAGTTACCAAAATGTCTGTCATGCAAATAGAACAGTATTGTCAATAGCAGAACCATGGTATCAATACTATCAAGCGTAGAATACAAATAGAAGTGCTCCTCTTCTCATTTTGTGACTTGCATCTTTTTCCTTAAAAAAAAAAGTATAGCCTTCAAATAATATTCCAAACTGTTGATGAAGACTCAGAATATGGCTACAATCTTGAGCCCATTTTAAGCATACTGACTGTGAAATCCTATGAATGTCTATTCAGAAGTAAGTCTCACTGAATTAAATCAAGCTCATGCCCATCAGTGCAAAATAAAATAAAATAAAATAAAATAAAATAAAATAAAATAAAATAAAATAGCAGGATTAATTCATGGAATCTCAGGAAGCCTAAAGGACAGTAGAGGAGAAAAAGTTATATAGACAGAAGAATCAGAAGAAGTGAACTGAGGAGGACAGAAGCAGTTTGGGTCTGTTTGTTGTTCTTTACTCCAAAACAGAGCTCTTCAGATTGAAGAGACAGAGCAAACTTCATGGCTCGCTGTTTCATCTGACCACTACTGAGCTACCACTGAGTAACTTCAATACCAACATCCACAATGGCAGTATTTAAGTGCAGAAGAAACAAAGCAGCTGCACCCTCACCTGGCAAACTGATGTATAAAACAGTACTGTCTGATTTGCATAGAAATGTACATAATTTATTTATTTATTTATTCGATTTATATCCTGCCTTTTTCCTACAAAGGGCTCAAGGCAGCTTACATCATTCTCCTCCTCCATCTTATCCCCACAACAACAATCCTGTGAGGTAGGTTGGGCTGAGAGTCTGTGACTGGCCCAAAGTCACCCAGTTGGCTCCATGGCTGAGCGGGGACTAGAACTCAGATCGTCTGAGTCTGAGTCCCACGCTGTTAACCACTACACCACACTGGCTCTCAATTTGTGTAGTGAGTCCACTGCGTAAGTCCATGTACCTGCTTTTTGTCTAAACTATAATCTTGCCTCCTGGACTGAGCTCAGGGGGATCTGGTTATGTGACTTGACAGCATAAGATGTGAATTACACAGCACCAAAAGGTTATAAAATATTAAACCACTATGCCACATTACTCCTAAAGCAGTTTTTCAGAGATGTAAAAATGGAATATGTTTCAACAAAAAGGAGAGGGATGAACACTTGTTAAATTGAATATATCGGTTCTTAATCTTCTTTTCTTTAAAGCAGTAAAGGCTGCTTAAAGCATTGCATGAGGTGGAGAGCAATACAGAGAACAGAATTACCATCCAATTTGCTGGCCAATTCAACTGTCAAACCTAGCCTGAATGTCAAGAAACTGCTTTTATGCTAACTTTTCATGGATTGAGAATACCGAAAGCACACATATGAATTAAGCATCTGCGTGAGAAAAGGGTACGAACTATTTACTTACTTTATTTATCTATTAAATAACCTCAGGAAATCATGTAAAACTCATTTAAGCTCATGAATCATCATCTCAAGCCAAAACAAGCAAGGGAGCTAAATTCTAAACTTCAAGTTGGGAATTAAATTCCAGGATGAAATCCAGCAGGAATGTGCAGTTCTTGCAGACTTCCCCCAAAAGGGACTCGAGTAGTTGAATACAGCCTCAACCATTGTGACAGTATGGTGTAGTGGTCAGTGTGCTGGACCAGGAATTGGGAGGCCTGAGTTCTGTTCCCCACTTGATCATGATGCTCACTGGGTGATGCTCACTTTGGGTCAGTCACTGACACTCGGCTTAACTGAGAGTTGTGAGAATAAAATGTAAAGGGGGAAGATTATGTAAGTCAGCTTCAGTGCTTTTCAAGAAGAAAAAAAGAAGGGGGATAACGAATAATTACACTAAACCCAAGTTTAGATAGGAGCAATAGCTAGAATAAAAACCTGTGGAGAAATCTTCGTTTGGTGTCAGTGCAAACTCACAAGGAAATCTGGTAACGATAGGTGATTTCAATTACCCTGATATTGGTTAGAGTGGTTCAATTTCTTGGTGCCCTAGAACAGCAAGTCATGGAACTGACAAGAAGGAAGTTGTCTTGAATGTAATTTCAAGTGGTATTGTTAAACCAACTGGAAACAATGATCACATGTAAGCTGACTTGGGCTCCTCACAAGAAGAAACAGAGGCAGGATACATATTTATGCTAAAAATTGCTAAGGAATTCCTTCTAAAGAGGAAACTTTTACCAGACACCTAGTGAAAAGGAATTTAAAGGGGCAAGTCAAGAGGATTAAATTCCTTCAAAATTGCATGGAGGTTACTCAAAGGCACACTAATGCAAGCTCAATTAGAATGTTTACACAGGTTAGGAAAAGTAGCATCATGTTCAAAAAGCCATCAGCAAAGTTAAGAAGGGAGGTCAAGTGAGTAATTATAGAGAAGGCGGCTGAATTCAAAAAATGGAATACTTGCCTGAATGAGGTGAACAAAAGAGTTCCAGTTTGCACAAGGGAGATGCAAGCAGATTATAAAAGAAGCAAAAAAGCAATGCAAACAAACAAAAAACTCCACACTTACACACAAGCCATCTAGATAAACAACAAAGAATTCTTTAAATAAATGAGAAGCAGAAAATCAGCCAGGGAGGCAACTGGAACACTGGATGACACGAGTTAAAAGGGCACTAATGGAGAAAGCAAGGACTGCAGAGAAGATGAATGGACTCTTTTTTATCTGTCTTCACTGCAGAAGATACAGAACAGATAGATATGCCTGAACTGATGTTTTCTCAAAAGCAGTCTGAAGAACTGAGGCAACTGTGGTGACAAAAGATGAAGTATTCAACCATATTGACACACTGAAAGTTAATAAATCACTGGCCAAGAAGGTATATATCCAATAGTTCTTAAAGAATTCAAATATGAAATCGCTTATCTTCTAATAAATATGGAACATGTCCCTAGGTATCAGAGGACTGGGGACTGGCCAGTGTAACCAATTTGTAAAAGGGAGCAAAGCTGGTCAGCGTAATGTGTATTCGAGAGAGATTGGTTGAAAGCTTTATTAAAGATAAAATAAGTAAAATAAAATATATACAAGAATAATCTCTGCTGAAAAAGAATCAAAATGGCTTTTACAAAAGTAAATACTATTTTATTATTTATTTTGTTATTTATTTTATTATTTTAGAGTGTGACTGTAAACAAGAAATATGGACAGGGACAATCCATACTGCAGACAAGCCAAGGCACTATTGAATTGGGTTTTAATGTCCCTCACCAAAGATCCTGAGCAAAGTTAGCGGTCATAGAATCCAAGGAAAGGAAATCCTATAGATAATTACTTAGTTATAGAACAGAAAGCAGAGAGTAGGAGTATATGGTAAATTCTCTTAATGAAGGAATACAAATCACTGGGATCCCATCTGTACCAAAACCAATGGTTTTCAACATTTTAATCTAAAACTAGGACAGTGCAATGAAGTGGAAAAGTTTAGTAAATAAGTAACACAAATGTAGAGGAATTGTGAGAAGCTCCAAGGAGATCTCTCCATGCTGGGGGAATGGATGTCAAAATGGCAAATCCACATCAATGTAAGCAAGTCTAAAGTGATGCATAACAGGGCAAAAAATACAACCTGATGGAATGTGAACTAACAGTGACTGAGCAAGGATGAGATCTTGGGGCTGTAATGGACAGCTAGATGAACATGTCAACCAAGTGCTACGGAAAAGGCATAATCAGAAAAAAACTGAAAATAAAATTTCCAGGAGTAGGCATGATACAAAGAAACTTTTTTTCTCCTTTCTCATAGCAGAACCAGATCATTCCATAAAGCTAACTGGTGGAAGATTCAGGAGAGATAAAAATAACTATTTTCGCTTACATACATGAACTGTGGAATTCTATAAGATACAGTCACAGGCACCAATCTGAAAGGCTATGAAGGGGGAATGGAGAAATTAATGGAGCAGGGGGTTACCAATGGCTCCTATTTCTGATGGCAATATGCTACCTCCAGAACCAGGGGCAGTATACCTATATAACCCTGTTTGGGTGGAAAGGTACTGGTGCATTCATGACCTACTGGGGTTTCCAGTCAGCAGTTGGCTGGCCAGTGTGTGAACTCAATGCTGGAGCTGTGGCTTGATGCAGCATTATGGATCTTCTTATGTTTTTAGAAATTGCATATATTGTCATTTTTAATTCCTTTCCAGGATGTATTGCCTAACAGAATGTAACGATGGCAATTCCATTGCGTAATATGGTCACAGAGGGTGTGTGAAGGAGACTTTTCATTGGGCATTTTTCTTCTTGTGCTTAGTTCTGCACTGCTCATGTCACCCTCGTTGAAGGAGGACAATTTAAGCAAACAAAGCATAAGGGAGCAAAAAGGTCCCACTTTTTCCTATTTCATTCTAAATGTCCTTCTTCACCCTCCTTTCTACTTTACAGGGAATTGGCATGGCTTATATTAGGGTCTTTTATCAACACATTTAGTTGTATCATTCTTCCAGCTGAGGATTTTTTTTGTGTAAAAGTTGATTAAGAAGTTCTGCTGAAGTACAATCTCACTTGGTACACATGTTCATTAAATGCAACAGAAGTCTTGAAAGACAAAATTATGATGGTCTACCAAGAAACATGCAGTCAAGGTAATTTGCAAGGCCATATTCAAAAAGGAAGCACCCATACCTGTAGAAATATGAACACCCCCTGACTGTGTTGTGAGTGAAATGTTCTTGAGTCTTCTCATTTCCGAAGTCCTCTAGGGGATCTGACCACAGGATGTCACACATGGGTCCATATGCAGGTGGTTCCTTGAATCGATCTAACTGAGAAAAAGAGAAGACAAAGAGAAAGGCTGTTAGACCAAAAGATAATGAACGTAAAGACACCACAGTGGTTACAGTGCTTATTGTGTTGAAACTGCCAACCTTTCCTCCTCTATGGCTCAGCCTCAGAGTCACAACAGAGAGCAGTTCCAGTGAAGCAAGCCCACTTAGGCCCAAAGTTGTATATCAGCCTAAAGCACATGTGTCAACTGAGTATTTAATACTTTAATATTCTGTGTTCCTTCTACAGAGCTGAAGGTAGCATATTCAATCCTCTTCCTCACTATTTTATCCTCAGAGAATCGTATTGAGGTAGGTCAGGTAGAGAAAATGCCCTATGTTTTGCAGTTAACTTTGCAGCTAAATGGGGACTAGGACTTGGGTATCCTGAACCCCTGGCTAGTACTCTAAGTACAACACCACACTGGCTCTAGCTATGGTTACAGCAGTCTATAATATTCAACCTGATTACAGCAACCAAAATGAAAATTCTGCAAAATAAAATATTATGATAGTATTAACACATTAAGAGTCTTGTGTCCTACTTGTCAAATATATTTGTATTTGATACCTGTGTATTTATTTCCCAAGCTTTATTTTTTCCAGTATCCATGAAACTTGATTAGTGCAACCTTTTGACCATTTGTTTAAAAAGGAGCAACATTTGCAGCCTCCTCAGTTACATTAGCAGCATTAGTAACATTACATCAGCAGCAGCCTCCTCCATCAATCTGCAAATCCACAAAGAAATCCAAGTGTGCAATGCACCAAAGGTGCATTGCAATGTTTACTGGGGACATTGAACTGGCAGGGCTTGGCTTTTGGTATAAGATGCAAATATTCAGCTAGAGCTGCTAGGGCCTATCCTCCAACACAGTGAAGAGAAAAGTTAGGGCTGCTTCGGACAAAAATTGCAACTCCTATGTACACAAGCCATAGACCTAGAACATTCACATTTATTGTTGGGTATACTCTGTTTTTCTGTTCCTTGAAAAATCTCAAATGTGGAAAAATGTGACTTTTTAATTTCATAAACATTTAAAATGTTCATTTTACAGCAGAAGTTACATTACACCCTTCTAGATAAATTTTAGGCAGTAATGTTAACTTTGAGAGCATGTATGAGAAACAAGTGTGATAAGGGTGCAACCCTAGGCATGTTTAGACAGAAAAAGCAGAAAAGCCTGGATTCCTGGACAATGCGGGTGACTGTAGGAGCTCCTCCTATCCTGTTTTTGGGTGTGAGAATAAGCTTGATACTTGCCTGACCCCTCCTTCTGTGGCAAACTTTACCTGCAACAGAATGATTATAGGAACCACTTAGCACATGCTACATTTCCAATTTGTCAGTAAAGAGTTATGAACATATTTGTTATGGAGAGAGAGAGAGAGAGAAAGAGATGCAAGGCTTTTTTAAAAATTTTTTTTGCAAAATATGCTCTGTTCTCATAGAAGCTCTTATGACACAGTTGACATTTTTTTCTTTTTCAATGAATGAGACAAATTCATTTCCCCTGGGCTTGGCTTTACCAGTTAAAGCTATTATGTACCATAGACCTATCTCTTGTCTGTTTGAAAGGCTTTAACAAATAATAATGAGACCTCTCTTTAACTTGACAGTATTGGTACCTGCAAGAGTTTTTTTTTTCCACATTAATCAGTTCTCTTGGAGGTCTTTTTCTAATGCTTTTTTTAAAGCTATGAAAAATTATGGTGCTCTTTGAAATGGCATCATATTCATAAAATGTACTTTTAGAAATGTAGGAACAGTTTCTCCCTTAAGTGTGTAGAAAATCTGAAGTTCCAAGTAGCACTAACCTAGTGATATTTCACCCCGACAGAGGCTGCCAGAAAGGTGCCAACAAGAGTTAAGTGTTAGACCTCATGACGGCCCTTCCTATTGCATCATGTTGATTAGAGGGTAAGAAGACTGGAAGAAATCAATTCCATCAGCTGAATAACTCCCTAGATTCATATTAATAATAAAGCTATTTCATTTTATTTTGACCTGTTGTGAAGCTCTTCTAAATGTTAATGGTACTACAGGAAATAAACCAGAGTTGCTTGGATTATGTAATGCATTGGACATCTTTGCTTCTCCGGTGGAGGCCTCCTGCAGGGACACAATGATGTCCATTGCCAGGCCGCTGCTCTTGAAAAAGGCTGAGCTCCTCTGTGTTGGTGAACAGGGGGTTGATGAGTTACACCTCCAGTCACAGCCATTTATTTCTTTCTCAACTTACCTAGCATCATATATGGGAAGAGAGATGATAGTGGGTGTCTATTTAAAATAAGAAACTGAAAACCTTTATGGATGCAGATAGCTCTTTATCTGTATAGGACCATATCTTCATCTACATTTTTCATCACTTTGAGGTTCTTGCTGTAGTACCAAATCATGCCATGGATCCAGAAGACAACACAATGCAAGTAGAAGGCACTGCCATTCATAAGAGAAGATAGGTGTTCCTCTGATTTTTGATGATTCTTCCCTCCTGCTGAAGGTCCCCATTCCTGGACCACAAGCTATACTGCTCTAGTGGGTGCCCCAAGTCTGAGGAGCAAATTTTAAGGGGCACAATTGGATACCGAAGAAATGGGGAAGGAATGAAGTCCTATTCTGTGAACAGAGCTCTGATGTTCCTGCAAATTTAAAGCTGCAATAATCTGCATTTTTGGACAGGAAAAAAGTGCGGCAATTCTAACCATTTCCCAGCTGGTTGCAGAATGCTGAAGTCATAGGGTTCTTTTTTCCTATCTAAACATGCATAGAATTGCACCTTCAAGGTGTTTGTTTAGAAAACGTCTACCTTGTCCTTCTGCTGCAGTTTGATTTCAGTGCAATTTACAACGCATAAGAACATCCACAAAATGCATCAAATCAATACCTGAAAAGTTTAAACATCAATAGGTTAAAACAAAAAAGCATATTATGACACAGAAGAGGGTACACTATTTCATGTATATTTATGTATATTTTCAAACACAGTTGAAAAGTTCAGAAAATACAGCTCAGAGTACAGTTTTGAGTCTATGTTATCTTCCAGGTGTGGCATAGATAAATACTGGTAAAAAGCATCTCATCCATTCCAATGGAAGATCTTCAATTTGGGGTGGGGGTCAGAACTTTCAATTAAGCCAGGGAAGATAAAACTGCAAACTTAACTTCCCTTTGTTTTGCATCATAAAGCACTATAGGCTACTTCTCATGAAAATGCCTTGGAGGAACACAAACATTCTTCCACATTCCTCAGCAATTCTCCTCTATCATTATAGACAGCAGGAAAGCCTGCCATAAACAGCCTCCTGTACTCCCTCCTCTTCCCATTCCTTCAAGAAGAACCAAGCAAAATTTCCTCAGTTTTCAGCAAAGCATCTGCAGTAGTAGAAAAAAGCTCCTGCTTCAGCCACACTTACCATACTCTCATCCTTTTACTGACCTTACTGGGCAGACCTTACTGCCGGGCAGGCCTGCTAACTTCTCAAGGAATGCTGAGAAACCCTGAATGCTCAGGTATTTGCATAAGGCAATGGTGAAGATCTTGCACTTTGGGGGGAACCTGTAACTCTCATACATTTACAAGGATATTCAATTCTGGCAGGTTTGAACCAGGGAATTACAGTTCGATTCCTGTAACTTCATTACTAGCAACAAGATTGATAGGCTTTTAAAGAAAAAAAATCAAGATTAGAGCAACGCTGGAAATGCTGCCCTTACCAGACCATAGTGTCCTCGATCAGCCCAAATTTCCAGGGAATTTTGGAATGATATAGCTTTCTTATGGACAAGGTGGGTTTACGCATGTTCACACCTTCTTTTAAAGTAATCAGATTTAACAGTAAACAACATACTTGCTCAAAACAGTCCCCCATGAATACTTATTGAACTGGTTCGGAAGTCATCCCAAACCAGAACTCGAAATGGTAGATGCAAGAGCCTTCTCCCCTTCTCTTCTCCCAGCAAGGCTAGCGAGAGATCAGAAGCATAGAAGTGGCTCAATGAATTTGTACTCTGTTCAATCAAGTTATTCTATCTCTACCAACAGTATATGTTCCCTGGTCATATTAGAAAACATGAAAATTATATATGATTTTGTGTGGGTGTGTGCATGTTTGCACATGTGCCATAACATCTAAAAACTTAATCTAAAGTGCCTGGGAAAAAGAAAGAGGGGAGGGGTTGGCCTGCCACATAAAAGATAAGAAGATAGATGCCAGGTCAGCCTTCTTGGGGATGGCATTCCACTAATGGGCCATCAAACTGAAAAGTCCCTCTCATTGGACCAACACATGTGTAAAAGGTTCAGTTAAAAGGAATGTATTTTCAGTTTCAATGATCCAATACAAAAGGAACACTGTAATCACAGAAGTAAAAGCTGCAAACAAGTCTAGATGCATTTCACAGAATGATCCTTTTAGCTAATGGTTCTTATCAACAGAAGTACCAAAATAAGAGACCCACTAAAATTACAGTAAGTTATTGCTTGTGAAAATAAACATGATTTCCGAGAAGTCATTTCTAGATTCTGAGCAATAAATTAAAGTGATATGTGGGGGTAAATTTAGTGTAATGAAACATTTCCCACTGCTATATAATTCTGTAGAAAAATTTAACCTACCCACACCTGATTCATAAAAATTAATTATAACATAATGAATGAACACAATGCCAGTCAAACAGAGCAGTTTCAACATTGTAATTAACATTGTGACCACTACATGACCATTTTATGTGACTTCTTTTTCCTAAAAAACTGAACAACACTGTTAACTGATCATATCTTAAAATATTCATAAGCATTGCAATAAACATGTTTTCCATATAAAGTTTTCAATTTGTTTGAAAATAACAGTTATGTCCATTTAGCACACTGATAAAAAATCCAGAAAACCCAAGTATAATGCTTTAGATGTCCAATTTGCATGTTTTGCATTTTGGAGATGCAAAGGAGATAACCATTAGTGTCCTTAGTCAAATAAAAAGACCTGTGTGCAGAAGCAGGATTCTCCAGTGTATCACTTGCCCTGTCTGTAACCACAGGTATAAATCACATGAACATTTGGATGCACACCTTTCTCCTCAACCTGCCAAAAGTGGTACTGTATCAAATTCCTTTTTTGGTTGTATTACTAGGGCTGAATAAGCAATGGCTGGAAGTGAATTTAACAATCAATCCCACTGCTATAATGAAAACATTTTTGGAAGCAAAACATCATTCATGCATTTAGTCCATTTTTGTAGTTTCCACATTAAATAAAGAAGTGTGTTTTCTTGGTTTTAGTTCAACCACATAAAAGTTATAAAGCTACAAGAATTTATTTTTAAAAGTCACCAATAAAATCCCCATCTATTAATGGTAGCAAAAAAGGAGACAGCAATAACAGTGTTTTTAACTGGTGGTGTTTTAGAGTCATGCTCTCCAAACTTACTTTTCTGATATCATCTAAAGTGTTGATCTCTGGGGAGAGGCCACCATGCACGCACAGGAACTGCTGGTTCATCAGAGCAGCCAAGGGAAGGCAGTCGAAGGCATCCATGCAGGCATCATACACACGTTCTGAATACTTTATTTTACCTTTTGGATGTTAAAAAAAGACCGTGAGAGAGGAAAACCAGTAAAGTAGTTCAGAGTTCAAACCTACATTCTGTGGGTCTGCAGAAAGTAAGGCTGGAAAGTGGCACACATTGTTTGCCTTACAATATATAAAAACCCCTTAAAATCAAAAATATTTCCCATGTACTGTTGACAAGTAAATATTTTCTGGTTTTCCATTTCAGGTTGGCTTTCATGGCAGCACGGCCAAAGATAAACAAGGAGACTGTTAAAGGGCTATTGCTATTTCAATAGGGATAGAAATACTGTGCCACATTCTCAACTCAACTATGCACTATATTAATGGGCAGGAATGTCCATTTTCTCAATTAATCATGACTAGATCGTTTGGTTTTCCGCATATAGCAAAGACCTTCAGTATAACCCTATCTAAAAGTGGAGGCAGTCACTGGATTGATCACCAGAAGACACTGCGATGAGGCGTTAAGTGTGAACTATTCTCAGTGCTCAGCACCGGCATTAAGTGTAGTAATAAAGACAACAGATCCTTGTTGGGCTGCATTACTGTGAGCCTTGCTGAAGGCGTAAGATCAGCTCCCCCAGTTGCTCAGAATTCTTTGCCTTGTCTTTGAAATTAGGTTGCTTCCACACCCCTTTGCTGCAGTTTGTTGGGATAGCGGGCGGCTCTCACCCTCAATCCCTTGTTGCCCTTCTCCCAGGAAGGGGAACTAACTTGAACTTACAGTCTCTGGAACAGAGGAAGAGAGGAACTGTATAAAATCAATGGCAAACAGTATTCCACCTAACAAGCATGCAAGTGCCCAAGCACCTTAATTCCTACATGTATTTGATAAACTGTATATCATCTTTGACCCAGGTATCCTCAAATCTAAAGTGGATCATCAAATCTGCCTTCACTGGACCAAGCCACTGAGGAAAATACTCATCAACAGAATTTATCAGGTGATCATTGAAATGGAACTGCTTGCTTTGGTTCCAGCCTGACTGCAGAACTCCCTTCCATGGGTGGATCCCTTTACATGTCAGAAGTATTTAATTCTGGTGGCTTAATATTCTAGTTTGCATCACTCAACTCACCTCTGATTTAGACTGAAGGTCATTTATAGGCTGCCAAATTAGACAATTGCAGTTTTCATGCTTTTTCAGGGGTGGGGTTTTCCTGTTTGGTAGTATACGTTTATGACAGTTTCAAGTTTTTAGGAATTCAGCTAGGCTGCCTTGAATGTCATTTGGCAAAAATACAATATTCAGAGACTTAAACTATTTACATATTAAGCCTACTTTAAATTAGAGTAACAATGAAAACTGAATTACATGTAAGCAAACATACCTACCATTAAAGTTCTGCTATCATTTTTGTTCTTATCTTAATAGTTCATTCTCAAAAGTTTCCATTTCCTTTTACATTGTATCAGGCATATCCCTTTCCCATCAAAGGATAGGTCAGGATCAAAACCTTTACCTTGCATCTTATTATTCATTTACATATCCATCATTATGAAATAAATGAGATTGTTCAATTAATTGAAATGTTAATTTACTAATATGCGCATTAAAACTGAGCAGTAAATTATAAAACGTTCAAGTAAATTAACAGCATTTCTATCCTTGGCTCTGAAGAAAATGCCACTGGAGAGAATTCTATAGGTCACCATTTCTCTAACATGGACCTAGAGAATTTGGTGCAGCTACCCAGGCTGAGGCCAGTGCAAAGTTTGTGGAGCACCAGGAAAAAAGTAATGGGAAGTGGTTAGGCACAAACATGGGAATGACTAGCTGCAGCAGGAACAAAGAGGAAAAAGAGAACTGATGGTAAACAGTACACACAGGTCCCTACTCCGCATCTCTGAGTCAGATACATGTCAGGAGTGGGGAGAAAATTCATTTCCTGTACACTTAGGACAGCAGCCTCTTCACTTGTCTCTTTAGAGGTCCGTTTCTTAAGCTAGGCATTTGGCACACCCAAGTGTCTGCTTCTTATTCCCAGGTAGGACATCTTGTTCTGTTAGCTTCCTATCATTCTTACAGTATATTGATTCCCCTGGGCCTTAGAAACACTTTCCAGCTATCCATAACCTTTCTGTCAAGTGGCACCTCTGCTCTTAAATGGGGCATAAACATTGTTCTGTTGGGAATAAGGGCCAAAATAGAATATAGATTCATATGGAACAGCTATGTCTCCCTTGGCCTATTTCTAGCCTTGAGTCTGCAGCAGAACTCTAGATGGGAAATAGTGGGCATTATAGAAAAAGGACAAGGGTTTGAAACATATACAGATTGAGCAGAAGTTCTTATAATGGACTTGAATCCTGAGAACTTAGCTTAGCGTGGTAAACTCTTTCAAGTTTGATATGCTCCCAAAGTTAACAAGAAGCATTTGTCATATTTAGCATGCTGCTCTCTATGAATATAATTTCCTTGGAAACAAATTTTAAAAATGTTTTCATGTTACTTGTGTTAATCCTGAACAAGTTTTTACACTTCTCCAAATGGAGCAGAAGCAAAAGAAGTAATTTTGATTCATACTTACATTCTTGTTTAAATGTGAAATACTCTGTTAAATGTCTACATTCATGATTCCCACGCAGTAAAAACAGTGTTTTGGGATAAAGAATTTTCAAGGCCCACAAATACAGCACACACTGCAAAGAAGAAAAGAAGTAGAAAGGTAACCAAGAGTAAACATCCTGCTTTGCAAAAGACACTATATATGAAATTAATTAAATCGTGCCTGCTTATTCAGAGGTGTCCTAAGACTTCAATAAATTTTATGTGCATTTTGTTTAACGTGTTTGCAGTAAGCAAAGTTCAACAAGTCATTAAATTTTTTTTCATATGTTCTAATGTTTCACAAGTAGAATTTGATTTCACACATTTTATTCTCACTCATTTCCTTAGGTCTCCCCAAATCTTTTCAATGCCACATCAAGACAGAAGAATCCGTCTGAATTGCATGGGAAGCACTTGCTAGCTAGGAAAATACAAGCAGTCAACAACATTCTCTAGTAGAACAGAGTGCTTTATGAACATGTCACAAAAGACACTTAGTTTGTGAAGCTCTGTGAAGAAAGAAACAGTTGTTGGACTATATAAAATCTGTAAGAGGTCTACTGAAAAGCCTAGCTCATCTCCAACATCATACCAAACCACTGCCTCAGCTGTTTCTTCATTTAAGCTATTCTTTAAAAAATATAAAAGATGCCTTCATTCCACAGAAGTTTTCAGGGTGGCAGTATACATAAAATGATTTTAACACAACACAATAAAATAAACTAAATAAAGCATAATTTAAAAAACCGCTTAAACCTGAACATTGAACAATAAAATTCAAAGGCATGGATCAATGCAGTCAGCTAATTTGATTTTTAAAAAGAGAAAAACTACATTTTCAAATGCCTGTGCAAATAAAAAGGTGTAAGGCTGGTACTAAAAAGAGTTTTCAACTGGTACCAGGCATACTTTCCATCTGTGAGCATTCCAAAACTGGAGCATTACCATGGAGGAGACCTTCACTTTTATTCATGATAAATGTACTTCACTCATAGAAGAAAAGGGCATTGACTGAAGATCTTAATGCATGGCCAGACTGACACAGGAGAAGATGCTCCTGCAGGTTTTCCTCTTAATCATAGTTAAGAACCGGTAACCTCTGAGATGTTTAGCTGGCCAACCACAGTTCATTTGCATTTCATGAATTCATTCCCATCTCTAAGTCCGTGTTAAGGGTAGTCACCACAGCAGCAAGGACCCCTGGACAAACATCCCCTGGACTTACTCTTCCACTCCACCAATGCAACTTGCTTGTTCAACTGCCTCTTGCACTAACCAAGACAACAACTGTAGTATGAAGGAGGAGCAGTAGATTTCATTGTCTATCTGCCCTCTGACTTTCTGCCTATTAGGCAAACATTGCCATGAGGAGTAAAAGAATGAAGAGCAGTAGCTGCTAGTGACAACGGTGGTGAGAAGACACTAAGGATGCTTGTGTGTCTTCAAAATTCTGGAGCTGGTGCAGACCATCTCCATGATGCAGCAGCCTCTCAGGATAACATTACAATTACGAATATCAGTTGAGTATCATAGCTTGACAGCCCTACATAAATTACGGTTCGTTAACTGAAACAGATTCAACCATAACACTAAATGTAGCATAGAGGAGCTTCAAACAGAAGCTTGGTCTCCTCGAGGTGGCACATGTAGTTGTTAAGGGCGAGAAAGCTCATTCTTGATGCCTATCTTAGCGGTTTTACAAATACCTTCATTATTCACAAAAGCAGAATGTAACAATACTTCCCTTCATCTGATCTTTACCAACTGTGTGGAAGGCAGTGAGGTTGCACTGTCTTCTCATTGTCTTTTATGGGCTATCAGACTCACTCTCTAGCACCTCAAAATCAAACAAATGATTCCTTTGATCTGCCTGCCTATATGGGCCTATAATGAGAATCTGTGGTGCTTTTGGAATTATCTGTCTTTGTTTCATCTTATTGATGCTGGCAAGGATCAAACAGTTTCTGGCCATGCTTGTTAAAAACTTAATGCCAGTTCATTTCTTCGGTGTGTGTGCATGCATGCATGTGGGAGGTGAGGATGGACTATATTCTTTATGTAAATCCTACAACATTAAAGTGGAGTTAAGCAAGAAGAGGGGAGAGAGTGGAGAAAGTAAATTGTAACTTTTGAAGTTGCTCTCTTTTAAGCAGCCCCATAGCTACTCTTCTTGCCAAGTCACCTCTTCTTTGGTTATTTAGGAAAAAAATTAGGACAAAAATTTCCCAGAGGCTTTAGTTCATACATGAGATGCTTATTAACAAAAGCTAGCATATTAACCTACAGCATTCCTTCCAGTACTTTACAAAATTCAGAAGAAATATCAGACATTTCCATCAGTAATGGAAACATCCAGAAATATAATATTTAACAAATAATTTTGAAAGAATAAAAATGCTAGAAGGGAAAAGACTAGAATTCTGTGGAGGTACCTTCTAATTTTAATGGGGTAAAAGATGGAGAAGCTTAATTCTATAATAGCTCAATGAAAGGTTCAAGCATCACAATCTCTGCAAGATTAATCATTATTATAGTTAAAAAGATACAAGGATAGATGGAATATATGATTTTTAACGCAGTAGAGCAGACAGGCAGCTGGCAGATTTGTCGGTTTTGGAACTACAGCTCCCAGAAGCCTCTGCTAGCAAGGTCAGTTTTCAGGAATCCTGGGACCTGGAGTCTAAAACAACTGCCGATATCTGACTTTGTGCCCACCCCTCAGTTAACACTACATGGGCACTAATCCCTAGCAGTGGTATACTTGAATATGGTTAAAAAAAAGTCTCTATGTAAGCTGGCCCCACAAGGAAAACAGCTGAAGAAGACTACTGTTTCCCAAGTCCAAAACCATATAAGAACTGCTGGAAATCCAAAGCGCAGTTAAGGACAATGTGATAGACCTGGCTGCTCCAAAACAATACATGCCAGTTGCTTTGGACTCCAACACCCATTGGTTCCAGCCAGCATGACAAATGAAGAGAAATAATGGCCACTGACATCCACAATAAATGGAGAGCATTGGGTTAGGGAAAGTGGTTCTAGACACTATGGGGTTACAGTTACTTCTGTCTACATTTGGGCATGGCCATTTCAATTCCACTGCCTATGGAACTATATCAGGAACCCTGGATACATTCATGGTTATCATTCTAAAGAAGGGCAGATCAGCTGCAGTCAGCTGCTCGTGGATCTCAAACCTACTCCTATAACCCAGCCTCCTCATGTTGGTACCAAAAAGTAGAGGTGCTATGAAGTGTCAAGATTGTGGGGGGAAAATCCACGTGTAGTGGGACCCCAAACATACCCCAATGAGGACTAATATGTCAGTCAACACAGAATGAATATGTCCAATATTCTACTGAATATGTCTTGGGAGAAGGCAGCACTAAGAATTTTAAGTCACAGTTCTACAATGGCATCACTTCTGTAGTATCTTAAGTGAATTTTTCCAAGCAGACAACCAAAACTTTGAGAAGGAAACAATCCATAGATTATAAAGGTGCCTTTTATTCCATAGCAATTTATAATCACACTGTATAAATAAACCAGTTCTATCTCCCCCTAAGCTGAAAAGCAATGATTCTTTTTCTCATTTCTTGTGATCAGTGTAAGCTTGTCACCACATAATGAATCATAAGCTTCACACTACTGAAAACCTGCTGCTGTCCGTCCTGTATTTATGAGTCTTCAGATTTGGGTAAACAAAAGAGCTGACATGCAAAAAGTGTCAATTCTTATTTTTTTTCTTTCACTCTAATGTATTATTATTTGTAGGCCTAGAGCACTTTCTCACTCGCTCAGATGGTCTTGAGGTAGAATGAGAGCATTTGCAAAAACTTAAGCAATATCGTATTGCTGGCTTAAGTCTTCTCTGCTTTCATCAAGCCTAGTATAGACCTTCCCAATGAGTGTTGCAGCATATCTGAAAGGCACCAGGCTGCGGAAGGCTGGACCAGTTCATAGAATCACAGGACAGTTGGGTCAGAAGGGGTCAAGAAGGCCATCAAGTTCAATCCCCATTAGTGAAGGATACCAGTTACACCATCCTGATCGGGTAACAGCACAATTGCTTCTTGAAAGACTCTAGTGTGGAAGAGCACACAACCTCTTTTCACAGCTTGTTCCAGTGTCGTACTGCTTCAGGAAATTCTTCCTTGTGTCTAGCCTGCACCTGGTGTACTGCACTTTACATTCATTGTTCTGTGTCCTACAATCTGGGATGAATGAGAATAGATCTTCCTTCTGACAGCATTTGAGGTACCTGTAGAGTGCTATCAGGTCACCATACAGACTTCTTTTCTCAAGGCTGAACTTACTCATGCCTCAGCAACAGCATGATATATATATTTTTTCCTTCTCCAAGTCACTGGGTGCCACTGATAGGCAAAGCACAACATGTAACAATGCCAGATAGGGAATAAGTTAGATTAGACGTCTGTAGCGGAGGAAGAACTTGACGTTTTTGTTGGCTGTCCTGGTTTTTTGTAACATGTAGTTTGGCCTTTTATTTTCTTCAAATTTCCTTCTCTTAATTATTAGGATCTGTGTGTGTGTGTGTGTGTGTGTGTTTACTGTGGCTTCTTACTGAGGTGTTAAATCATTTCTTGAGCATGTTTCAGTGAGTGTATTCCTCTTTATCTGAAAATATTTCCATCAGGCTACCATTCTTATTTTTTGGTAGGGAAAGTGTATTGCCACCAAGTAACTGAATAACCTCAGGCAAGATTCTCACTCTTTCTTGCATCTCAGTTCATCTGCATGACAAAATTCGAGTCATAATATTGATTATCTACCCAAATATGTTATAGGGCTTAATTAAAGTGTTTTGTTTCAATTAAAGCTTATGGAAAATGTGAAACATATCCTATAACAATTATTTAGTCATGAAATTGTGCATTTAACAACATTAGTGTTGTTTTTAAATGCAATTATTTTTATGCATGACAGAGTTGGATGCAGATTTAGTTGAGCATACCTATTGAAATTGATGGGAAATACATTAATAGCCTACCTTGTAGGGTTGCTGTTGTAAGGATAAAATGGAGCTTGTAAGCCACTATGGATTCCTCAAAAGAGGAAAATGTGGGATATA